AAAACTAAATATGTTACAAACATAATTAAGAAATAATTATAGTAATAAAATAATTATACTAATAATTATAGTAATTAATAATTATAATAACAATAGTAATAAAATAATTATAGTAATTATAGTAATAAAATAATTATAAATAAAATTAGGTAGGGGAGTATTCGGGGTCCTTCATATATGTGATGCAAACCTAGCATCTTATATGATTTTAGGAATTGAAATTTCAATTCAAAAACTCACGTGTAAAAATTTACACGTGAACACGTATATATACATATATATACACGCATATTTTCCGCATAACATCCTGCGAACGGCACTTCATGATTAGATATACATATATTTATTTGTTTAGAAACATTGAGAGCCTGAGATAATTTTCGATTAATTAATAAGAAATAATTACTCAAAAAAATGTTATTATCTAACTTAAATTCTTTACAAATTTTTATCTGTTCTTTTGTGTTGTGTGTGCAAGTAGACAATACTAAAACTATAAAAAACTATAATTTTATGTATAAAATATCTGAATCTAGTAAATATAACAAAAATAATGTTCTTTCATGTAACTTACTTTTAATACTGCAAAACTTTTTTAATAATAAAAAACGTAAATAAGTGTAGAAAAATATTAAATATAAAAATTTATAAACCTAAATATGGAAGATAAATATGTAACATAAACAACCGTGTACGTGCTCTTGGTCTTTTTTTTGTTACATATTATTTATTTTGGATATTGGAGCCATAGTTTTACTCACTGGAATTCTAAATATGTAATATACAATTGTTATATGTAATATATAATTTATATATAATATATAATGTTGTTGCAATATTTTAAATTAGATAGAGGGATATACGGGCATTATCAAATACGAGACGCGAATATAGCATCCTATATGAATTTACAAAGTAAAATTTCAATTCAAAATTCACGTGTAAAATTCATAGAAAGCAATATAAATATATGTATATATGTATTTATTTATTTATTTTGCAACGAACATCCAACATAAAACTTTTTATTGACCGTTTACGTATTGTTAGAGCCGTTAAACTTCTAGAGCTAACTCTTCTAGAGCTAAAACTCTTCATTAAATGTCATATATAAACCTATATATAAACCTATATAACAAGTAAAATCGACATTGTAAAACTAATATTTCTAAGAGTAAATCTCTTAATGTACAATAAGTTTAGAATGATCTTTCAATCTTTTTCTTATGTCGGTAGTAAACTACGTTATTTTTTTTCTTTAAATATATAAAGAAAATATCATATATAATCTGAATCATGCGTGTATCATATATAATCTGAACATACAAGATCCAACTCTGTGTGTGTGGGAATATACAGAAGACTTGAATCTAATAATACATGTTTACTAATATGTATCTAAAATAATACATGCAATGTGCAAGATGGTATCAACATAATAAGGATCTGCAAAAGTCAATTTGAGATTATGGGTCATTTGAGATTAAATCTGCAACTTCAACTTGCAAAAAATAATTAAGCAATTTGTAACTTTACGTAAAAAGACTTTACAACATATTAATGTGAAAGTTACAATTATTGAACACTAACCAAGACTTGAGACATTTTAAGCGCAGAAAACTACAGGACTATATCAAGTAAATCTAAATAGTGCAATGGATAATATAAATCAATAGTTGCAGTTCAGATAATGATTTAAAACTCATATCTCTAACAGCATATCAGTTGTATTACTTTATTAAAAAGTCGTTTAAGATTTGTAATAGCCATACATTTTACTTGGAAATATTTTAAAAAGAAAACATATATATAAAAGGAGGACAGTAACATAGACCCCCGGATCTTACCGGCCCTGAGAGATGAAATCTGAAAGTGCCTTGTCTTCGTCGGTGTTCGACGGTCGAGCATGTCCATATGCTATTAGTATCTGCAGAATCGAGTAACGTGTCACACGCGTCTGTAACCAACAATTGTTAACGATTAATTTGCAGGCATAGAACGGTGAATTTGGTAATTTATCGAATTTAATATCAATTGTTTTCACGAAAAGTTATAATTTTTACACAAATAAAAGAAAAAACTGAATTGACATACACGTAAATATGAAGATTGCAACTATATTTTTCTTTGTAGTCGTTGGTAAGTAAATTATTTTTTATCTGCATAGTAACAGTTTTTTACGTTAGTTCTTTCTGTATTTTATATTGTTTACAAATATGTACAAAGTTTTAATTACAAACAGAAAAAAGAAATAAAGTTTTTGTAAATAAACACAAATTTTTTAATAGTAAATAATTTTAAATAATATATTACAAAGCGTATAAAACTATAAATCTAAATTTTAACGAAATTTATAAAACTTTTCTTTAGTATAGATTATTGTGTATATATACATATATTGTTTTGAAAATATTTTATTTTTTTCGAAATATAGAAAATGTATAAAAATATAAAAAATATGGTAAAAAATTAATTTAAATATATTTTTCTTTCTTTCGCTCTTTTTACAAAATTTGTGAAAATTTGGACAGATATCTAAAAATTTAGAAAAACTTGGATTTCTTGGACGTTCTAGACAGTTTCGCTTTTTCATACTTTTTTTTTAGAGATTATGAAATTTTTTAAATATTTATATTGTTAGATAAACATAAAATAATGATCTTTGAAGTAGAATTGTATTTGAAAATTATTGTAAAACTTTTTGACGGTTTAATTAAATAATTACAGGTCTATGGGACTTTCTTTTCTCTCTCTCTCTCTCTTTTTTATTATATCTTATAAACTATATAATTTTATTCTGTGCTAGCATCTTCGGCGTCTGCGTTTTCTTATTGATACTGACTAGCAAGCCGTACTTATTCCTTTTTATTGATAATTTTATTTCTTTCTATTACAATAAAAGTATTGTTGCAATTGCGTTTTTTGTTTTAAATAAACATATGTAATAACAATAAAAAAGTAATACTTATACGCTTCACAGAAAATTTAGACTTACTTACATATGTGTGTAAATCGTGAAAAATAAATTTGTGTTATGTTATGCGCTTCTCTCTCTCTCACTCTCTCTTTCTCTTTCTTTCTCTCTCTCTCTCTCTCTCTCTCTCTCTCTCTCTTTATCTATCTCTCTCTTTTTATTTTTCTCTTTCTTTGGTACTTTTTCTTTTTTTAATCTTTTTTTCGTTTTTTCTCTCTTTTTTTTATAATTACTTTGCATAACTATGATAAAAACGCATAATGAACAGTAGTTATACTTTTTTATAAGAAATATTGATGAATAAAATAATTATTTTTAGTTTAGTATATATTATTGTATATTATATTTTATAATTTATATGTTCCGAAATAAATTTACATAATAATAAAACAGTGATTGTTTGTAAAATATCTTCATAGAATGTTTAAAAAACAAAAATTGTGGAAGTATTTTGTTTTTTATACAAATATATATTCTAGAATTATGTCTATAAAAAGTTATTTCAAGAAGGATAAGTTATTATTGCATAATTAAAAAAGTACAATATAATATATCCGGTTGATCTTGAGTGGACAGATCAAGGTCACGGCAAAATCACCATAATTTTTTTAAATAGAACAACCTACTTTTTATTATGTAATGTTAAAGCTGACTTCAGGCCTTTCCAAAACACTAGTTGATGACCTATTGCTATTGAGAATTGCCTCAGTTATGAGCTCTAGAAGTTACGATGCCGCCAGCATTAGAATTATCCAGAGTGCATCGCGTGGAAGTTGCATGGACGGACTTTACACCCCTTTGTATGTGTGTATGCGCGCGCGAATGTGTGTGTGTGTGTGTGTGTAACGAAGATCAAGAGTCTAGAGTTTGTCACTCTCCTAGTATTTTGTGGCTCCAATAGGCGCGCGAGCAGAAAATGTGTTGTTGAACAAATCAGCAACTTCAGAGTATGATCTAATACGATCCCCATATCCCCGCATCATAAGCAATAGGTGCGTTCAGACAACTCAACGGTTGAGAGATCATCACTTATGATAGGACTATTCTTCAAAATCTGCTGCGGTTCCAAAAGTATGATCCAATCAGAAGTGATTATCTCTCAACCGTTGTGCAACTGTTGAGTTGTCTGAACGCACCCAATGTTATCCTTTCTTTTTCATTTAAAGACATTTTCACAATATGGAAACAAAAGCAACATCTAATTTGTTAGCTTGTTCATGTATTTCTTGACACCTGAAGATTGTAGTGCTGTAAACTTGCAATATTATTTTGTTGTTAAAACCTAAATACGTCCTTAAAAGAACATTTTAAGGTCTTTCAATGTGAGAGATTTCACAAGCTCACAAAAAAAATGGTCTGAGCTCGAAATAGGAAACATGTTTTCTTACTTATTTTGAAGTGCTGCATCCAAATCTGAAGTCAAAATAGGGGGTTTCCTAGATCGATCTTCTTTAAATTGCGTTTAATCGTCAGAAAATGCTGGAAACCAGGGAAAAGTAGAATCCCTAGAAATTAGAGTCTGGCCAATGTTTTGATCTGAAACAAACTGGCGTCGGTAAATTGAAAGTATATTCTATATTACAAAACTATGCTTTTTTTATTAAAATGTATTCTTTTGTACTTCTCAATATATAATTATATGTTAAAAAATATATTTTTTTTTTTTTTATCACGGCCTATCTCTTTTATCTCATCACGCACTAATAGATCTGTTTATATTCCTTTAAAATACCAATTTTACACATAAAATAAGATATATATAGTCGGCATTAAACAGAGAGAGAGAGAGAGAGAGAGAGAAAGAGAAAGCAAAGATTGTAAGAGCAAAAAGTGCAAGCACCACGAACAGACCTAATGATATTTAAATCAATTTAATGTGTGGCTATAACGTTATCCATTGGTTCCGCCAGTTTGCTTCAAAACCAATGAAAAGGTTGACAACATTGGCTAGACTTTTATTTCTAGGGAAAAACATTTAGACAATCTCGTTAGGGTGAGCTTATTAAGGAGATGAAGAGACGATATCAAGAACGATGGGACATAAATATGATGGCGGACTTTTGCTGAAGGTTCAGGAGAGACATCACTCCAAAAAGAAACAAACGTAAAAGAAATCTCTTACGCAAATCTTTCAAGAATAAAAAAGTACGTAAACGAGCAAAACATTAAATAAACTTACACAAATAAAGTTCGAGGTAAGTGGTTTACTTGACGACAAAAGGCTCATTTTATCGTCTGCTTCCGGTGTAGCTGGCTTGAGATACTTGAGTTACTTGACAACGAAAGGCCTACCCGAACGATTGCCTGTTTCGATTGTAACTAGCTTGGGGTATTTAGTTTGCCTGTCTCACTTGTTTGCCTGTCTACAATGTAGTGAGCTTGGGTATGTAGTCTACTTGACAACGAAAGGCTCACCCTAACGAGATTATCTGAATGCTTTTCCCTGGTTTCCAGGATTTTCTGATGATTAAACGCAATTTAAAGAAGATCGATCTGAAAAACCCTCTATTTTGACTTCAGATTTGGATGCAGCACCTCAAAAAACGCAAGAAAACATGTTTTCCATTCCGAGTTTAGATCATTTTTTTGTAGATCTGTGTTATCATTACAAAGTATTTGTTATGGATTCATAATTGTTATCTCTTGCTTCCATATTGTGAAAATGTCTTTAACTGAAAAGGAAAGGATAACATTGCTTATGATGCAGGGATATGGTAAACGCATTAGATCATACTCTGAAGGTGCTGATTTGTTCAACAACACATTTCCTGCTGGCGCGCCTATTGGAGTCAGAAAATACTGGAGAAGTGACAAACTCTAGAGTCCTGATCTCCATTACACCACACACACACACACACACACACACACACACACACACACACATACACACACACACACACGCACACACACACACACAAAAGGGTGTAATGTTTGTCCACGTGGTGCACTCTGGATAATTCTAATAATACTGGCAGCATCGTAACTTTTAGAGCCCATAACTGAGGCAATTCTCAATAGAAATAGGTCATCAACTAGTGTTTTGGAAAGGCTTGAAATCAGCTTCGACATTATATAATGAAAAATAGGTTGCTCTATTTAAAAAAAGTATGTTGACTTTGCCGTGATCTTGACCTATCTACTCAAGATCAATTGAATATATTCAATTAATAGAACTTCTAAAATCCCAAAACTTTTGTTTGGAACATTTTGTTCTAAAATTTTTCGTTTTCAAAATATTTGACCGTTCCGGGACTTTTGGCACACACTGTATATTTATACAGGGTAAGGCAATTAAAACAGGCCACTTAAATAACATAAAAACTATAAGTTTTATAGAAAAATGATTATAACAAAAGTTTTACGGCTTTGAGGAGGAAAAATGACATTATCAATTTAATTACAGATAACGCCGCTTTCAAGATTTCATTACGGCAATTAATTTTTAAAATAAAAGTCAATTTTTTGTTTGAAACAAAAGTTGTAAGTGGCAATGAGACGAATACAACGGTTTTTTTATTTTTTGCATGTAGATCATTTGTTACAGCTTTCTAAAGTTTTCGCATACGTACACGTTAAAACACTTGAATACACGCTTGCTTTTGATAGTATATGTGCGTGTGCGTACATTTTGGAACGCTGTAACTCAGTAAAAAATGATCCAAATTTAAAATATAAAAAACTGTTGTATTTGTCTCATTGCCGCTTATAACTTTTGTTTGAAGCAAAAAATCGACTTCTATTTTAAAAAATGGCCGCTATAATAAAACCTCAAAAGTGGTGCTGTCTGTAATTAAATTGATAATGTCATTAATTTTTTCCTTTAGGGAAAGCCGTAAAACTTTTATCTTAACTTTTTGTCTATAAAACTTATAATTTTCAAGTTATTCAGGTGGCCTGTTTTAACTGTCTATATACAGGGTGTCCCAGAATTGGTGTAACATCTCTCGTAGACAGGTAGAAGAAATAAAACTCAGTCGATAAGTCCTATACCATTTTGCTAGATTTGCAATAAGTATCGAAATCTTAATTAACAAAGATCCGCGAATAAGCGTGCATCGGGCTGTCTTACACGCGTAGGACAGCCCGGAGCTTCGCACAATTACATTTTAATATGTATATGTCATAGTATATGCTGTTATATTAGCTCCTCCCATATGCTCCTACA